CTGCCAAACCCCCTGTGCCCGAACATCAGCCCAAGACATGTTCTCAAACACAACGGCTAGAGCAGCAAACTACAAACATCACGGGCACGATGATAGACCGCAGGCTGGCTAGACTCAAGAACACTGCAGACGCCCTGAGAGACCTAAGCCCCCGAACAGAGAATGAGGGAAACAGGAACAACCAAAAGCGAGTCCACGGCCACAGATGCTGAGGTGCGCAACCAATGGCGCCAAGCCACAACTGCACACAACACATGATGCACCCCCATCCTGACCAACCAAACATCAATAATCTAAGGGCCCCTTACAGAAGCCCGCCTTCATGTTCTTCGCCAGAAAAGGAGGAGATGGCAGCATCCGAACAAAATTACCACCAGGACCGAAAGAGCAAAAATCTCTGTGCCGGAGGAGAGCAGGAAGCTCACTGACCCGAACCCCAGAGTAAACAAAGAAGCCATAGTGCCACCCTGGTGACCAGGCAGGGAAGCACCCACAGAAGCAAAATGGCCACCAAAACAAAAGGAGACGTTTCTGACGTAAGGGAGATGAAATTATGATAACTAATGGGGGAAACCAAAGCAAATGGGAATGAGGGACGAAACCCCTGCCCAGAAGGCACAAGGCCTACGCATTGGCAAACAGCCCTAGAATTGTTAGTGGGCTCCCCCGGCAACCCTCAACAGAGGCCCCAGGGCAGAGCCGCCATCAGCCTAGAAGAAAGGCAGAGTCCAAGGGAAAGGCAACAAGAAGGGGGCCCTGCTGGTAAGGCTCAGAAGCCTTGGCGGGAGGAGCAGGCTCAAAGGCCTCCATCCCGCAATGAATGGGGCAGTCCCCCAAGCTGCCCAAGTCTCACCACCAATTAAACCCTGCCTCGACTCCAAAACCCTCAGACTTCAGAGAGCCGGCAGAAGAGGGGGAGGGGAGGGGAGGGAGGAGCAGAGGAACCACAACAGCTGGGAAAGGACCCAGGGGCAGGCTGAACCAAGGTCGAAGCGACCAATGCCCCCAAGTCCGACCTAACCAAAACGGGGCAGCCCCGGAGCATTCGAGCAGGCAACCAACCTAGAGCTTTGCAATAACCTAAACCAACCAAGCAACACGACAGCCATTTGTCCCCCCCCCCCCCCCCAAGATCTTCCGAAGAAGAAAGGGTAAACTGGAGAATGAGCGGGGCACAGAACCCACTCGACCCCAGGTTGAAGGTGTCAGCGACCCCACAAACAGCATGATGGAGGTAAAACTGGTAATTGTCACTCTGAGACAAAGGAACGAACAACCTGCAAACTTGCACAAGGCAAGATGGGACTCAAAAGATACATCCATGGGTCTGCCAAGCCCCACTAGGTCGCATAGGGGGTTTTGCCTACTGGAAGACCAGACAACGGTGCTGCAAAGCCAGTTGAGCCCTAAGAGTGTCAACAAGAGGGAAGAGGACTAAACTGGACCCCTAGGAAGTGTACAAGCACGGGGGCCCCTAGAGGGGGGCCATCAAAAACATCATATGTGGACTAATAGTCAGACCAGGCAGACCCCCTCCAGGCAAGAAACAAAAAGAAAAAGAAAAACCCCACAAAAGCACAACAGCAACAGGAGGAACTGGGAACACAGTCGTCGCTAGGTAGGCGTACTGCACAGCACCTTGCCACCCCATCCAGCAATAACACAACTTCTTACCCAGGGCCAAACAAAGGCCATGAAACCCCAGCTGGTCCCAAGGGCGGGGTAAATGCTGAGCAGCAGTAACCCCTACGGAAGTGAAGGTTCAAAAGCTCTAGGGAAGGCAACCACTAGAACCCAAGGAAAGTACTTACAGGATTCTTAAGGAAGGTAGCCCTAAGTGCATGCAGTCCCAGTACACTGTTACTCCTGGCCAAACACCATAAACAACAAGAAATACCACAAGAGCACAAAATCCTGCAGGAAACTGAGTTGACAAGAGCCCCAGAGTGCTTCAGCCTACGAACTGAGGTGGGAGTAGCCGGTGTGGGGGTCCGGGATTTCCCCCTCCTCCTCCCGGGGAGGCGAGGGCTGCGTGGACAAGCGGTGTAGTGGTAGTGAGTGACGTTTGCTTGTTTCCCTGTGTTTTTGGGGGAGTTCTGTTTCTCTGTTCGGTCTTCAGTTGCAATTTCTTACCGAGTAGGGGTCTTGTTTTGTTATAAATACCTTTCTGGGTGCCTAACCCCAGTCGATGGCAGACATGGAATGCTCCCAAACACATGAGGGTTTCCATAGGCCATTGCTCCCTGTACCTCTTTGAGGGAGCCAGGTTCTGACTTCTGGTCCCCAGTAGGCAGAACTCCTATGACTGAAGCCCCAGATAGAGTATATCAACCTGATAGCTCAGGGAGCCGAAGGAGCTCCCCACAGAAAAACAATAAAAAATTGTGGCTAATAAAACCTATTAGCATACTGCACAGTATATTAAAAAGATCAGGCATGAATGAATTGTGGTGATAATTAATCCTTACAAATATTAAAACAATTAAAAATACACTTATCTATTTAATAAATTCCATATAACCAGTGTTGAATGTAGCAAAATGTCACTTTCAGGCAAGGATTTGGTGACTCCCTGAAGGTATCTCACTGTGATAGTTCCCCTTACTAAGTCACATACAATATTTCTATGCGTAAGTATCCACTAGGAAAATGTAACGAAAGTTCCAAACCTTTTCGTGTTTCAACACATTATCAAGGAGATATAACCAAATCGCATGTTTTTTGTGATTATTCTGCAGTACAGTACTATGTCTGAACCAGAACCTAACCCTCCCCACCTTCTCACAAAAGCACATGGAGCAGAGACTTGGTACAATCACCATCACCAAAAAAAAAAAAATCCAGAAAGTAGCAAAACAATACAGACAACTGCAAGGTTCAAAGAAAAAGCAGTGAACCAAACGACTGCAAATTATTCAATCTCGCCCATATAATTTACTCAAGACTACTTCGAACCCCCTAGTTGTGAATGGTCGCCAGCAGGTGGTAGTACCAAGGGTAGTTCCAGGCTTCTGTGCCCTCTTGGCCTCAGTCTGGAGCTGACAGACCAAGAACCAATGCACTTAGCAGGAAAAAGAAGGAACCAGGGAACCACTGAGGTCCTACCAGAAGCAGACATTTCATTACATTCAAAACTGGTTTTCTGGAGGAGCACTCAGTGGCTCCAGAAACTACCTTACAACAGAGAAAACAGAAAACATGGGATTAAGCAAGAGAAAAGGAGAGCAAAAATGACACTCATAAAAACAAAACACCAGGACGGGAAACCTGATCTAGGGCAAAACAAGCCTGATAGAGTTCAGAGAAATCAACCAGGTAATGAGTTGCCAGGACTCTGTCAAGCCTCCAAAACCCCCAAGCACAAATAGCACCCCACAACATGTTATTGAACACACTAGCCAAAGCTGCAAACTTGCAAATATCATGGGTGCGAGGGTAACCACACATTGGCCAAAGTTAATGACACTAGACAACCTAAGAAATGTGAGCCTTAGAACAGGGAACCAGATCTGCCGCAACCAGGCAACAAATGATGCATCCCTGGTTGGACAAACTAAGCATCAACCACCAAAGGACCCCTCCAGGAAGCCAACCATCTCATCCTTTACTAGAAAAGGATTTACTCATCCTTGGCAGTAAATTAAACAAAAATGCCCACAAGGGCTGATGGAACAGAACCTACATCTCCAGAGAGCATGTAGCTTCCCATCGTGAAAATTGGAGGCCAGAGTCTTTAGAGGAGTATCCAGGCCGAAGGGGCATTCTTTCCTGCCCTCAGTTCATAAAACACCAATAGTTATTAAGGGACCAAGATGGCTCAGAAGGAGCATGTGCCAGTCAGAGGTGAAAGAAAACTTGATAAAACTTGAGAAATAGTTCCAAGAAAACTTCTATGTTAAATGCCAGCAAAAGTGGCTCCGCCAAAGCCGAGCGAGAAGAGGCAATAGCATGAGGCATGAGATGCCAGTCGACAAACAACAAAGACAAAGAATACAAAACCACTAGAACAGGCACAGAAGAAATACAATGATGAGAGACAGAGATGAAAGGAGCACCAGGAAACTTCATACTGGCACCATGATGACAGACACAGGTGAAACTCCATCAACTCTGCGACCTGCGCACCATACAAATGGTGGTAGATCCACCTCAAAACCTTCAACCACATAGATTGGCAGAGAAGGTTGAACCAGCAATGTACCTTGTACAAAGTATAAGGTACATTTCACTGGGTCAATTTGCTGAAAGAGGAAGAGCTGCAGAAAAATGTCCGGGTTTGGACACCAAGCCACGAGAGCCAGAAACGAAGACCGAGCTGACCACCAAGGAGCATCGACAGTCCACTCTGGAAAAAACCCACATACCATCTGTGAGATTGCTTGACCCTTCATGCATGTGAACTGCACAGACAACCATAACCCGAGAAGTCACAAGGCGAGTTAAACGAAGAGTACAACTCCAAAGGTGAAAGGACTGAAGCAGCCCCCGCAGTTCAGTGAATTAACCACTGGGAAGCAGTCAGAATGGAGTTGGAGAACAAAGCACCGAGGAAGATAATCCCTCTAAAGGCCTGCCACACTGCCACAAGTTCACACATGTTGAATGCCCAAAGGACTGGACCCAACCAACATCCCTGGGAGGCTTATTGAGCCCTAGTAACAAAACCCATCCCTTGGAGAGGGAAGGTAACAAAACCACTGGAGAGCCAAGGAGACCGTGAATACATTGAACAATGGAGAAAGGATGATGCCACGAAACTGAACCCCAAAATGTTTGAGGAAGCTTACGCAGGGCAAATGGGGCTCAAACCTGATGGTCCGAATATTGGTGAAATGGGCGAAATCCAGGGAATCGGTACAACTTCTGAAGCCAAACCCTGCCCAGGCAAAACACCATGCAGGCAAAGTTGAGACTGCCACACAACTGCCTGATCAACCACAGACAAACCTGGGACTGGTCCAACACCAAACAGTACCTTTCACCCAAAAGAAACAATTTAACAAACTTCAAATACAATTTATTTTAATTCAGTATGTTGTATAGGACTAACAAATGGACAATTTATTTTGTATTATTAAGTACTGTACCATCTTGATACAGTACTTCAATTCAAATACATAATAAAGCTCTCAAAGTATTTGAGGCCTGTTCTCACAAGCAACTAACTGGTCAGCTATTCCAAGCCTGTTACCATAGCCAGACTGCACAACAAGCATCAATCTTTCCTTCACATAACCTAATATCTTTAGTACAGCAAGGCCAATTTTCATATTAATCATTTACTTCTGCTTGTCTTTTCATTTGAATTGTTATTCAAAATTTGCAATACCATTCAGTACTGGAAACTCATTAAGCTACCTTAACATTTGCTGCTCTGAACCCTTAATATTTAGAACTTCGTGGTGCTTTTTGTTTATTTTACAGAACATTGCATGTGTTCCATTCATAAAATACTTGTTACTTGTGCACTTCTTCCTCAAAGATGAAACTCACTTTTATTTGTCAGCCCACTTTGGAGATTTCAAATACTGCACCTCCCAGAAAATATGAACTTTAATAAAAATACACTACTCCAATTGAGAGATATAGTGCACACACACACCTCTGTGCTGTTTATGGTTAGGCTTAAGATATATATACTGTATATGCTTATGCTGGGAATTAAATTAATTTTATCTTAAAACAACCGTGCATATTTTTTAGTTAAAAATATATTGTTTAACCATCTACTGACAGTACAGTACATCTATAGTGATATTTACTACTATCCATGAATGTAATCCAAGCAGTCTTCTTCCCTCACCTTAAATAATTACATGTACATCATATCTATGCAATACAGTACATTACTTTTAAGCAAGCTTTTCCCTGACATTTTCTGTCTTTCTTCCAACACTTTGTCTGCTCTAGCACTGCTCCTACCTTTTCTTCCCATCAATGTTCTCATGTCACTACTATTCTTGCATACACACTTTCTGTAGGCTGGCATATAGGAACAACGACAAAACAAAACAGTCACCCCCAAAAGTCAGGACATTCAACCGAAAGATGGATGACTATGAGCATAACAATGCAATCTGGACGGTGTTCCATTACAAGAGTTAGTCCTGTGTGACCGACATGTAACTAAGCCAATGACATTTCCATCTTCCTATTACAAAGTGGCGAGAGATTTTTGTTATAAATTGGGCCAACAATTAAGTATGTACATGCGATACTCATTGACACATTAACCTAAATGTATAGTTGACTGGAAAAATTGTGTCAGGCCATTCAAGTGGCACTTGTGCACTGTTCCTAAACTAACATACGGTACTAGGTACTCATATGTTGAGCCTCAACATCGTCAAACACTGATGCAGCCCCAGTTCAAACAATCCAATATTCAGTGGTTAATATTCTACAGATAAAGTATTATACATCTGCTTGAAAATATGAGAGAAGAGGAAAAATAAAATATCGCTTCCAAACATATGACTTTGTCAAATTAAATCTTAGATGTAGTGTGATTAAGGAATCACATGTGTATTCCTTAAAAAAAAAAAGAAAAAAAGAAAAAAAAAGAAAAAAAATGCCTATATTCCACCATCCTCACCTACATAAGATTAACTGTACATTTTAAATAAGCTACATACCCCTTTAATTTTCTCATACATTAATTATCATCATTACTTCATTTTCCATTTACATGGGGTGGGAAGACATCAACCTTAAGAAAATGGGGAATATAATGAAAGAAAGTTACATACAGTATATTCATAAAACAACAATCATGCACTTCTCCATTCACTGTCATGCACACTACAGAAAATCACGGATAAACACACACACACACACTGCCATAACAGCAGTCACCTACAGCAGCACCAGGGTACAATGCTCCTTGTCAACTGGCATATACACAAATAAACAAGTACATTCACTCCCACCTTACAAAACCTCTCTCACACCGTCTTACCTCTCACCATATTCCATGCATCGCTCACTCTCAATCCCCACTTCCTCTCTCACACTCGATCATCATGTCCATCATAGTCTTTTCGTTCACCATACTCTGAAATTCACTTTAATACACATAATTCACCAGTCCACCATAATCCATTCAGTTGGCATGTCCAAACCATTTTGGTATGTTCTCCTGTATCTTGCCATTTATCAACATTTGTACTGCTAATTCCTCCAGATCATCTTTACTATATCTATTCTAATACCATACATACTTCTCAGATTTTTCCATTTCTACTGCTCTAAATCTTAATTATTTTCATATCACATACCATTGTTTCCCATCTGTCCACAGATCAAGCCCTCTGGTTGTATCTTGTTGTTTCTCACCGGGGACTTGATTGCACCAGACACCTTCCTTCCTTGGCTTCCCTTACTCTCAACCTCTCTTCACTACCATAACTTCACTTTCTTTTCACAGTTACTTTCAACATTTCTCTCTTATGTTTAACTAGTCAACATTTCTCATTATACTAAAAGAACTGTATCATATACATACAATCAATCTGGCATACTCCAGTTACAGCACATGTATACTAGGTCAATACCTTTCTCTAATATTCTTAGTATTCAGTATAGAAAAACCAAAGTGACATCACACAACCCTAGCATACACCTACATTAACATCCAGCCAGTCACTTATTACAAAACTCTTGCACCTGCACTACTTCCTACATAGAATCATTTCTCAGCATTTAACAGAACTTGGGTAACTCATCTCATGGTCATCACTCTCCCACATCCTTCCTTGTTAACTTCCTCTTCTGCTTTTTCCAAGCTCATACACACCTTAACAATCTTCTTCACATAATAATGTACATTACCTCAGATAATACCATCTTGGTTTAAAGACAAAAGGATTAATTGCTAGCAACTTTCCCAAACTGCTTTAACAAAGCATATTAGTCATGTGCAGATACACTTGAGTACTGACAATAACATTTTGTCTCTCTTTAGTTTCAAGCCATATCATCTAGTCAAGACAACCTTTCCTTCTACTGTAAAATCAGCAACAATTTACGTAGAATATACCTCCCTCCTGTTAACCTCGGTTAACAGGAGGCAGTTCCTGTTAACCTCGGTTAACAGGAGGCAGTTCCTGTTAATAACTCCCTCAAAAGTACCTCCACAACTCCTTTATAACCATAATTAAAAATTTCAAGATTCTAAAAGCTCTTCAAACATGTTGTTCAGGCACTTTCTACCCTAGTACTGTAATATAAAATTTATTAATACTGTACATCCATCCTTTACTGTACATAAATTTTTTTTTACAGAAAAACATAACATCAGACAAAGATTCTACAAGAACCAGTCTTCTCTTAATATACAAAGCATCATACATGATAGAAATATTTCTTAAGATACTTTAACCCTACATTAGTACCCTGGAGTGTTTCAACTTCCCTCCAAGCATTAATCCTCACATTTCACAGTTGGCAACAATAATATTTCAAATCTCTCTAGTACCTTACTGAATCACTGAGCGAGACCCAAAGTTCCAGCAATCCTGCTCGAGTTAGAGGAAGAATCATTTTCTTCCTCTTGGAGAGTACAGGAAACCACAGAAAACACTGCACAAATGCTTAAGTTAAACTCAAAGACATATCATGTACCAACATGTCATGCACAATACAAAAGATCGACAAATTTATGTTAAATTACTTAAAACTATAAAGTAATTCTTTGTCATTTATTTTTATGTTGGTGTGAGCAAACACCCCCGGGTACCTACTAATGAAGTCTGAACAACCAATTGTATTTTGTTTATATAGGAGTTAACAGCATTTCATTTACAAAACAATAATCATAAAAGTGAAAACATAAGCTAACCATACTTACACTTTCAATCTAACAAAAATAACAAAAACATTATGAATAACAATTATTTCCTTGTATTCCTCATTGACAAATTTGTTTAATAAAAATCCAAATGAGGTAAATTACACTTTGACCATGATTGATTCCAAAATCCATCTCTCCCTTTGCTATGCAAGTGCAAAATACATCTCAAAACAGTGCAAGCACCAAGCAATCCATCCAAATAAAAGGAAAAAGTAACCAAAATATCCAGTGAATATTGAATAAGAAATTTATATGTATTACATAAAATATTTGCAAAACCCTAATCACATTTTATTTGATCCACAACTACAATGACGTGTTTCTTGGCTTGCTTTTCACATGGATACCTTAGTACTGTGGAAATGTTGTAATTTTATATCATATAATCTTTGTATAAAGAGTTCACAAACTTGGGGCAACAACATAAATCTAACATACTTACTGTGTATAACAGTAAAAGTTCATCCTTTAAATTATTTTCAACATGCTGTTGCTTTCTGGTATTAAAGACAAATCAAATTGACAATTGCATCACATAGCATTTCAATAAAAATAAAGTATGAATTTAATCAAATTTTAATGAAAAATATAAATTCAGTTTTGACTATTTCCTGGTTCTCCAATGATACTGATGGCTCCTGCCCCTTCAATCACTTCATTTCCAAGATAATATTGGAAAAAAAGAACAGATGCTACATTTAACAACTTCACTGAAGCTTCATAAAGTTGGGTGGGAGGAAGTCGAGGTTGATATCAGTGAAGTCTGGTTCTGGCAGGTTATCGAGGATGTCGGGATAATCAGTGTCGTTGTAGGGCATTCTGTGTGGAGAGAGAAATGTGTCAGTCACAACACAGCAGCAGCAGCAGTGAGAGTTACAACCCACCACCACCACCACCATTACCACCACCACCATACACACCACAACCAGCACCATTAACTAAAAATTATGAGCCTTCAAATTAATTTGACTTCATGTATCTTTAATCCCACATCAGTTATCATATGGTTAATCTTATTACAACCCTGTCAAACTTGCAAAAAGTTTGGATGAAATGTTTTCTACTAGACTACATAATGAAGAATGAAGAGCCAAATCCTCAAAACAAGTAAGTTTTGAGCAGAAAGTTATTCTTGTATCTTCAGTTGCTGTGTCTATCAAAATTATTCCAAAGTTGTCATTAGTTAACTTGGCAACACCATGATTAACCATGATATTTTATTATCATTCTGCTGTAGGTCCATGAGAGCATAACAGGGGGATACAGATTTTTTAGGGGAAAAAAATGGGCTCAAAACTGTCAAGGAAACCTACTGAAGCCATCAGAGGAGAGTATATTTTGACACCTAACATATTTACAAATTCTGCAACAATAATAGTAAAGGATAAATTTAAATGATTAGGGCAAAATACTGGAATGTCAGTTAAATTCTAAGTATAACAACTCTAAAAGGACTTTATGGGATTGTAGTTGCAGCATCAAGCTCATACTGCTAGGGAAGGGATGTGATGGGCTTGCCAGGCTAAACTACTGTATATGTTAGCACGTTTCAGTGGTCAGCACTCCGTAATGGCACCTAAGTTTTCCGCTATTTATATACAAAAGTTACAAAACTAAGTTCAGATGCATTTTTGTTGTTGTTCCTACCATGCTGGCTGTGGGGATGATACTGATAGGTCCAAAAGTGGGAAGAAGGGAGCCATTGAACTGCACTGGCCAGACTCACTCACTCATTACACTTAGATGAGCTTTAGATGATTATGCAAAATCTGCCACAAATGTCAACAAAAATGTATCGGCTACTCTTGATAATTGTGACAAATGACAAATGTTGCTACAATAGACAATAACTAGTCCAACATTGTGCCAGAGTTAAGCAACTGAGAATGGCACTAGTGCATTATGGCCACAATTATGTACAGCATGCAGGGTACCCTCTCCCCACTTATGAGCAAACTGATCCAAGTCAACAGAGGGAAAGAATCTGCAGCTCTTTGCTGAAAGGATAGACATAGATTCTGCTGTACCCATTGTCACTATATTTACGAAGAGTTATTTAGCACTTTATTGGGCTCATACATACAAAACAAAAACTCTGTTGACTTGTTTCTACTGCTTGTGACTGACAGATTCTCTATCCTCTAAGCAAGTGCTGCACATGGAATGTCACAACACTGGACACTTCAACTTTACCACAACACCCAGAATAATCATTTTATAAAGTGCCTAAATGATACGGTATCAAATTTCATGATAACTTAATTTTGTCTTTCCAATTCCAGTCATGCCACAATCACAAAATGCTAGAAACATTAAAAAATATACATTGATGTAAGAGTTTGGGATATAAAAGGTAAGGGTTAGAACAGCATGCTATGAGTCAAATGTTTATTCCAAATTACAGCATAGCTTACATATACATATACATATATATATATATATATATATATATATATATATATATATATATATATATATATATATATATATATATATATATATATATATATATATATATATATATATATATATATATATATATATATATATATATATATATATGCAGAATAACCACATATGAAAATAGAAAATGCTTAACGCGTTTTCGGCTAATTCGCCTTCATCAGAGCAAAGTAGAATGATTCTACTTTGGATTCTACTTTGCTCTGATGAAGGCGAATTAGCCGAAAACGCGTTAAGCATTTTCTATTTTTCATATGTGGTTATTCTGCATACTTGGATCAGTGTTTTTGTGATCATTGTTGCATATATATATATATATATATATATATATATATATATATATATATATATATATATTATATAGTCCACAAACAAAACTGACAGCTTATTCAACAACAACTCAATCTGACCTAAATGTTCATTTTGCAAAGCTGTATATATTCTAAAGATAATTTTACTACAAAATATTTTGATAAAAAAAGCATAAAAAGCAGCATAAATGTTTGGCACGGACATAATATACACAAGTTGAAATAATAAAAATTTGCAAGTGATAAAAAACAAAATATTGGCAATATAAAAATATGAGATGCACATATATATATACTATATATACTGCATGTGTGTGTAGTGTGTGTGTGTGTGTAGTGTGTGTGTGTGTAGTGTGTGTGTGTAGTGTGTGTGTGTGTAGTGTGTGTGTGTGGTGTAGTGTGTGTGTGTGTGTGTGTGTGTGTGTGTGTGTGTGTGTGTGTGTGTGTGTGTGTGTGTGTGTGTGTGTGTGTGTAGTGTGCGTGTAGTGTAATGTGCGTGTGTGTGGTGTAGTGTGCGTGTGGTGTGGTGTAGTGTGCGTGTGGTGTAGTGTATGTGTGTAGTGTGTGTATGTGTGTAGTGTGTGTATGTGTAGTATGTGTAGTGTGTGTATGTGTAGTATGTGTAGTGTGTGTATGTGTGTGTGTGTATTTAATTTCCTTAAGTATTTTTGTATTTAGTAATATTATACATCTTGAGAAGGATAGATTTACAGATCAGTAGGATGGATATTTATAGACAGGAAAGAGGTGAAGTAAGGTGAGGTAAATTTCTTAAAAGAGATAATGGATATTAAATCAATAACGTATTAGTGAGAAATGTTAATCAATGATCCTACTCAAATAGCCCTTTAACTGATCAATCAAAAATGGATATACAAACCACTGCTAATTTTCAAATTACAATATTTTTGTAATCTGTACTAAAGCAGATGCAATCATGTTCCTATTCAAAATGCTTTTGCAATTCATTATTGAAGAAGCAATCTCCCAATCAATTTGGTGAGAAGTTTCTGACAAATGAACAAACGAAGCATTAGACAATTGGCCGTGTGTTACAGAGTACAGTATTTATGTTGCGAAATTTTAAATCTCAAATCTTTAGATGTTTGCCCTACACAGAATTTATTACTGTCTTTACAAGGGGTATTTTGTAAATACCTTGTAAAGATCTCACTAATGCCTTATTAATATCCAATATCTCATTAAAGACATTCTACCTCACCTCACCTCTTTCTTGCCTATATATATTTAACCTACTGTTCTGTATATCTATCCTTCTGAAGATGTACAGTGTTATTAATTACGAAAGTATTTAAAGACATTTCTGTCTTAATCCTTCCTTTGTGGTCTGGCACTGTCACATTGTTCATGTGTTAATTTTCATGATTTACACACATTTGATTTACACACATTTTATATATAATATATATATATATAATTTATTTTCATTAAATAAAATATTTACAATATGACAAATACCAAAACATGATGCATGTTAGATTTTGTTCACACATGTGGTAACAAAGAATCTATCCACATGGTAATCCTTTCAGTTTGCTTCTCTATTTCTTAGTGTCAAAGGTACAGAAAGAAAGTTATTCCCCTTTATTTCACATTGAACCACTTTCTCTGAATATGATCAACATTTTCTCGTCTAAAGAATTTTATCATGATTATTTCTATTACCTGCCTCTTGGCTATGGCTTGGCACTTTCCCCTGATAAATATCTATATCTGTGCCCCTTGGCTAAAACTATACAAACTGATTAAAACAAAAATTGACCATGCCCAACAACTATATTTAAGAAATACTTTATACTGCATCCCTATACAATCCAGAGATATTATATATGTATACAATATATACAAAATTACCCATTTCTAGTTTTTAATTCATAATTTATTTTCTACCCCTATCCTTTTTTATATTTCATTACTTTTCTTTTTATTTAAATTACCTTACTTGTTAAAAATAATATAATATTTGTACACATTTCTTAACTACTGTATCCTGATTTCATAACTAAACTAATTAACAAAAATACTTCATTAATTAATCAATTTCTATATTCTCCTTAGTTGTTACACGTAACGTTACACGTTATAAACATATACCAAATAGTCATTATATTACTTTGATACCAAAAGTACTTGCAGAACTGCAGCTCCACTACAAGAATAGTACCTACACATCAAATTTTAGTCAAAAAAAAAAAAAAAAAAGAGGCAGTTATGAAATAGTGAATCGGTCAATATTTTAACATTATTTACCCAAACTAGAAAAAAACTATCGCTGCATAAAATACTTCGTATACACCCGGGGTGTCAAGCATGCGGCCTCCCGCCCCTTTATATGGGGACGGCAGTGCACTTGCTACTTCAACTGCACATACGTACATGAATAGCTGTTTTCTGTAATATTAAAAAAAAACTCAACATTCTCAACTTACATATGCACACATGAATTCAATACTAAAGTTTACTGTCACCAATTCATTTACTTCAAAATATGATGCAATGCATTAGACAGGTGTAAGAAAGCAGCAATTCCAAGTAACATAGGTAATTATTATAGGTATTATTTTATTATTATTATTATTACTGTTTTCCATTTTGAATGCACCACTCTTGCCCTTGGAGGGGAGAAGTCATCCTTGCCGTGGCCTGCATCACGTAGTCATATGAAATGTAGCCCGCAATAGCAGAGGATTTTTGACACCCCTGCAGTTTACATTGTACTTTATCCTCCCTCAGAAATTTCAACAAATTACTTTTAAAGCATAGTTAATGACAAAATTTTCACATAAGAATGAGGAAGGGTTGGACTGTCATACACGAATCTGCAATAAATATTTACCCAACTAGTTTCTCACACTATTTTAAATCTCAAAAGTCTTTAATGTATACATCACCATACCAACACCTGCAAGACTTTTATACCTCAACAATTTACTTAATATTGCCATTAGATTTTGGAGGGTATTGGCATCATCCTGCTCAATAACTTAAATCAATCTTTTAAATTAGAAAATACATATTAAGTTG